CCCATTCCTACAGACCCATGATTCTTACAATTGGGGTCTTTCTGCTTTTCAAAATAGGAACTGCAGATACCCATTGCACAGTCTCCAGTGTGTTGTTCCTCGAGACTCCCCAATGTGTATTCCCCCCCATTCTTTTAGTGAGCATAGGAATCCTTGCTACTTCCGGTTCCAAATTGCTGGAGTGGTTGACCATGGAGGTTTCCTCCTGAATGTCATTTGTACAATAAACTAAATCAAACTTTATACCTCACATGTACCCACACAGTGAGAAGAGGGCTATTTTAATTATACTTATTGATTATGCATTTACATAATATTCTGGATTCAAGGCACTTCTCCTAGATGTTTTAGTGTGGGCTAACCTCACTTGTTCCTCACAAAATAAATTCCTTATGCAAGGCACTTCCACTGGACATTTACTGCCTGGATGGACTGCACTTGGTTAGTTCATATACAATTTACGGTAATTTAGCCTTAGCCACATATACTTGTATCACATTATCAAGCACCTTACTACGATTAACTATCATTATGTCCCATGCTAATGTTTGCTACATATGTGGATGAATTATGCACTATCTGTTGACAAGGGGCTCATTCTTAATTACCTGACAATTTTTCGTCAAACTAGCTATTCAAGGTGCTTACCCTGAATGTTTTTGTTTTTGACCTGGAGAACCACTTTTGTTGCTCACAGTATCATAGACAAGGTGTTTCTACTGGATATTTTGCCCAGTTGGACAGCAGTTGACATGCTCCAGTGTGCCCAAATCTCTACTCTTGGCATGTATTTATTTGGGCCTGTTGTTGAGTACACACTAGACATTCCATTTTTGTCCATGCTGTGATCTTTTATGTTGGAGTTATACAGCACTTCTCCACAGAACGGTGTTGTACAATACTTTCTTGCAGCTATGGTGCCTGCCTTTTACGTCTCGCCCTATATGTATTACTGTGTTCATTACTGAGCGATGAGCATACCTGTTCCAGAAGTAGTGCTGTACCCTACAGGTGTGCCTTCTTTTCTTATCATAACACACCTGTGGTTGCTCTCCCATTGTTTGAATATTATCATCTTTGCTGGCCCCTCCACTTTTGCAATGTGGGATTCTAGCTTTGGGTGAGCAGAGGTAGTACTGTTTCAGAAGTTAACATTTTTTTACACTGAAAATGTATTTCCAATAGGTACTTCTCTCCATTCACCCACTTTCCACTCTTTCTCCCGACTGATATGTCAGTGTCTCTAGTTTGTACCTGCGAATTCTCAAAAGTGAGGATTGTGCTAGAATAGTAGAAGGAGCTAGTTGTGCTAGTATAGATGGCACAGTATTATACTTGATACATATTTATGTAATGGACACTAATTCCCTAAAATGTTTAAAACTGTAGTTGATCAGCTCAAAACATATCCCTTAATGCCTCATATAAACAATACCTTTCTAAGCCATGCACTTATGGCTTTAAGAGTAATAACCAAGGTAATGAAAAATTATCCTCATTTTATTGCTTAATTAGTGCCAAAATCTGGGGTATAATACACATATTAGTGTGTGAATATGAAAACTACCCTCAATTTAAAAATAAAGGAGTTACAAAGTGTGGCTTCACTATTTGTGGCAGTATTATGCTCTATAAGTTACAGTCCTTGTAATCTATCTATGCTAACCTAAAGTGATGGTCAAGATTACAGAAAAGTATGTTTATTGTCCATGATATTTGCCTACAAACAATATGCAAGCTTAGTTAAAAGCTGATATTATGTTTTTGTCAACAAATATTGCTACAGATAAATTCTAATTTAAGATGTCTTAATATATTTGTGTGTGTATTGTTTCTCTCTGTAGAACTTAATGACAGACCACTACATGACAGGATTTCAAGTTGCACAAAAGTTAGGGATCAGCAGCCATATGTTATCCAGGATGACTGGTACTGTCTTTGTCCAGACAAATTCCTTGGAAAGCATGTCAGCAAATAAGACCAATGTAGGATTAAATCTCAAATTCAACAAAAAGAATGAAGAGGTAAGTTTTTTTGTCCTCTGTTACTAACTGATTGTGCCGAACAGGTGATTATAGTAGCCTGACTTTTTTTTAATATTTTAATGAGAAAGTTATTTTATGTACCTACTGATGGTAGCTTGTTTTTTGAAAAAACAAATTTAGTGTAGGAGTTCAGTATTTGTAAGTACAACTCATAAATTTTATATAATGTGTTAAAAACATAGGATAAAAGTAGAAAATAACTGTGTTCCTCTATCCACTCATAAATGAGACTTGAGAGTGGTGATGACATAGATAACATGCTGCCATGATGGTCAAAATTGTATTTTTAAAATTAATAGGAATCATGTATGAGCATAGTTAAAAGTAGTATTGTACAAGTTATTACATGTCTTGTAATAGAGTATGGCATAAGTTATGTGTTCACATTGTAATAGCAGTATAACAAGTTATGCATGTACATTATATTTACACTATGACATAAGTTACACATGGGAATTCTAATAATAATATCACATAAGTTCTGTATGTACATTGCAATAACAGTTTAACATGTTGTATATGCACTTTGTAATATTTAACAGTATGATAAGTTATGTACAGGATGACTATGAACTTACTTCATGCATCTGGTTCTTATAACTTATAAACTGTAACATATATATGTTAGAAGAATTTAGTGTACACAGACATGGGCCATGGGAAAAGCAGTTACAGAGTTTACAAATTTTGCCACATGGAGCGCCACTTGTACTACGTGAAGTTACTTCTGACAATTTTATGTAAGCTTATAGAGCTGTCAGATATACAAGTTTTTCTGAAGAGATGCTTGTGAATAGAGCTTCTCCCCAATATCATACAGAACTTGTGAAGTTTTCCTATAGCAGTGAATGTTATATAGAGGTGGTGTTACGTACCTTTTGTTATGAAAAAGGTGTTTTCAAAGCCCATGCAGCTCAGTGGCTGTGCTTAATCTCATCACCTCTAAATTTGAGGAGATCCATCATGATCAGGACATTCAACTACTCCTTTGAAGGATGTTGCAATAATTCAGTAAGTGTCATTGGACATTGAACAATGCAATTCCAAAGGGGAATGCAGCACCAATGAAGTTGCTAGATCTACTGAATGACATCAGCAAACTGTGTGGAAGGTGATGCTCAAGACAGTAAAGCTGTTTTCATAAAAGACTGGATGATTGTAGAGAAGCAGCTGAACTTTGCCTTGGAATTAATTGCACATGTCCAGATAAATGACAATTAGATTGACAACATTTTGTAAAATGATGAAGTCCACTTCTATCTCTGTGAACACCCACAGTTGCATTGTCTGGGATGGGACCAGTTCACATTCATTCACTAAAGGTGACTGTGTATTTTGGATTTACCAGCAGTGCCATTGTCAAGCTGTATATTTTGAGGAGCCACAGATCATGGTTTATGGTGTATGTTAGCTGCCTTGCACGAGAGGGGCATTCAGTGGGATATTTTGTTCATGTAAGATAGAGCATCACTAGATATTACCAGCTATTCAGTATATTCGTCCACTGGACTTTGGACTTAAGAGGTCAAAAGTTAAGAAGGTCAGCATTTCAAAATTTTTGGCAGTAATCAAACCCCTCCCACATACTTGTTGGCTTGGTCCACAATCAGTTCATACATGAGAATATTCCATAGACCCTTAGATTTCCATATTTTTTGTCCAAAAGCCTCTTGCTTAAATCAGCAAATTTGTAAAACAAAACTGGGTGGGTGGGGAAGGGAGGTTTATGGCAGGACTTTATTTGAAAGATTACTAGTTGTTGTTTTTATCCTTGACTGAGCAGCTCATAGAACAGCTCTGTTTTTGTTGTTGTTGGTTTTTGTTTTTGTTTTTTGAAAAACGTTTAGCTTATAACTCTGTCATCTCTTGACTGATTTGTGATTTTGATTAGTAATAAAATCGAAATGCCCAAACATGCGCTCCATGCTTGGTATTGCCGGTGCACAAAAATATTGCTAACAAAAAGAGAAACATAGATTAATTTACTGTAATCCTGCCTAAAAGAATTTCAAGAACCACGGCTATTGAGGATTCCCTCTCTTTTTTTTTTTTTGCAACTACTTTTTTGCTTCCATGTTTTTGATTGGCACTTTCAGGGGTTCCTTGTGATTTTGACCAATTGATTGTCTTGTTATTGTTATGTACACTGTCATTTTTTAAAGAACCCACGGTCAATAGAAGATAATATGATAGAATAATCTATTAATTATTTTGAGCTAAATTCAATGCAGAATAAATAAGTATAGTTTTTCTTGTATTTAGTCTTATTTTTTAAAATTTAGTAATATATTCATAGTGACTTGTATTTCAAAGGAGGTGTAAGTTCTTGTAAAAATCATTGACTGACTTGACTAAACATTTCTCTTATTTTAGCCAGTTATGTGCAAAATTGCCCCCAGTGACTGCAGTAAGCTTGATGATTTGTAGGCAAAACAGTCATGGTTTGATACCCATGGTGAATACAGCACAGATAACTCAATGTGTAACATTTCACTTAAACATAAAACAAACAAATTCACAGGTCAAAAAGTCAAGAAAGAGGACCATTCAAAAGCTGGCAGATAAAGTAAAAAAATTAAATTACCATACTAATCAAACTATCATGTAAACAAGTAAGTAAAGAAATATAGAAAACAATGATCTCTTTTACTTATGAACTTTGTATTCGTTTGCTGCTTGCCATAATTTGTTAAGCCTTGTCAAATTTCATACATAGAAGATGTAAAACAAAATCATTTTTTTAGGTTTTTTATATATGCATTTTGAAATAACAAAAAAAATCATAAATTTACTATATCAGTGCCACATAATTCCAATATAATTTATCAGGCTTAGTAACTAAGCTGTATTTGAGTCTAAAGATATATGATTTTTCAAGCTCTATAATATCCTACTTTAGTACTTCGATTCTACCATGAAAAGAAAGGTTTCTCCACAGAAACACTTTGCTGAGCTGAGAAAACTACTATGGGGACATTCTGAGCTTTCCATTAATTATGCATATGTCATTGGGTGAAGTAGGTGTACATTAGCAAGTATTTCCAAAAATGGAAGAGGTGGGCAGGGTTACTTTGGTTGATTCACTAAATATAATAATATTTTCAGAAAACAGTAAAGATTGGAGTTGCTTATTTTATAGTTTAGCTTGTCAATATTGGTAATTTGTAAGAAACTATGGTCTTTTATTCAAATTCGATGACGAGGAACCCACTTTGAGATTAATAATGGCTGGAGCCAATGAAGCTTGCAAATATTGCACTCAATC